CTCTGGGACTCCCGACAACTTCAACGACGAGGCGCCTGCGCTTCATTCCGAGCAAACGCTCTGCTCAAATCCCGTTGTGAGTAAAGTACATGTTATTTACTTGTTTACCATCTTTCGCCAATTATCCGGAGGGACCCCGTTGTCCGCGCCGCGATCGACATGCAACCGGTTCACCTACGGCCTCGCGTCCCCCGCGGATGCGTACGCTCGGGGGCTCCGAAGGATGCTGGCGCCGCTCCTTCTCACATCCGAACTCGTGGGAATGGCGAGCTATGCTCTCACCACTTTCCACGAGCTCCTGGATGACGAGGTTGAGAGCGACGGCTCCAGCATTGGCGACATGGCACCTAGCCATCGTCTGTCCTGGGAGTGCACTATGGCGGACGCCCCGGGACAGCCGCTGGTGGTAGCGGAGTCCTTGCAGACTCACACCCCTTTGGACCCTCGTGCGGGGGCCCTCGCGGTCGCATAAGAGCACGGCGAGGAGCTATGACGACGGCGGCAGAACCAGCCGCCACCTGCGTCGGCGCGCTCGGCGCACCACGGTGCGCCCCGTGCGCGTGACCCGGCGAGCGGCGCTCGGGGTCACGCCCGCTAGGTTCAGCGCAACATCGTGGACGGGAACGATCCCCCATAGTTTGCCCAGGCCGGCCAGAACATCGCCGCTGCGGCGATGCTTCTGCAAGGCGTCCCTGAGCCTGTCGACCCCCAGGAGCGAGCGGTCCATCGGAATCTCCGGGTGCTGGTGGAGACCATTGACGTTCAACAGGCGGAGAGCTCCGCATCGCGATACCGACTTGTGGCCTCTCTCCCCACCAGGGGAGTAGGGACGCACCGGACAAATCGCTCCATCCGCTCACCGCTACAGCCGCCGAGCGTGGCACAGGAGGCCGCAGTTGCACCGCGGTTCGACCCGGTGCCTGCTCCACACCGGCGCCCTATGCGCGAACGGCTCGGACCGAACCAAGACGTTCGCGGCGTCATCAACAACCGGCGTCGGACCCGGCATGATGATGACGTCCATCGGGCGACGCTGAGGGCAGGCAACGTGGACCCCGGCTAGACCGACGAGGGGAGCGGTGGAACGCCCCCCAGACATGGTCGCCGGCCGAACGACCGGAGTCCCAACCCGCATGGCCCGGGACCGCGGGCCTTTGGCCGACGCATCCAGAGAGCGCCGTTCCCATAGCGCTTCCGACCGCCCACCAACATCGCCAAGTACACCGGGGAGACGAACCAAGGGTGTTCATACATCATTTTAGTGATCTCTACTTGCATAGTATTTAGTGATTCATTAAGTGATTAGCGTAGGTGCTTTGCGAAGTGCTTAGGTTGATTCGACCATCGCTTATACGCTTGCTCTAGGATTAGGCCTAGTGTTTAGTGAGGTTTGCACACCTCTTACCACTCGGTGCTTGCACGCACCATTGTTGTACATCGGAGGGGCTTGTAGTCTTGTGAGATCACACCAACCGCGTTTGTGGTGTGGCCGCCACCGTGTACCAAAGGGAACAAGGCCCACGGCGGTTCGGTCGGAAGCTTGATAGTGAAGACGGCAGGGAGCGGTCCGGGAGAGGCACACCGGAGACCCACTTGCGCGTAGGAAAGGCCCGGGGCTATCCACGGAGTTATCCGACCGGGAGCTTAGCCCATGCGAGGGATTCCTTGCGAGGGGTTTCAACGAGGACTAGGGGAAAGCTTGCGTGCTTCTCGATATTTTGGTAAAAATACCGGAGTGAGGATAGGTGTTTGGTAGGAAATAAGGACTGTAAGCCAGGATTGGAACCAAACACCAAGCCAATTCTTGTCTAACCTTGCCCACTTAAGGTGAGGCAATCGTTGCCCACATAGCTTGATATGATAAAGGAACTGAACAAGTGAACATGCACCTATGATAAAGGAATTTCATCTATTATATGCCCCGGTAAATCCTTGCTACTTGCTAGCATGGACATCAAGATAAAAAGTTCGAAACACGTCTCTCTTCTATATTCTCTCTCAGCAAGGCAACTGCCCTTTATCCACAAGTATGAAAATTTATCCATTGGGAAAAATCTGTCCATAGGGAAATTTTTATCCACAGAGACATTTTTGAATACGGACAGATTTTCTAGTATCACAAAAAGAATCTTGTACAAATCTCCAAGCATCATGTAAAGGATACCGTTGTCCTCAACGATAATGGAGATGATTTGATATGCTTGTTGACATGGCTTCAACCATCGTCCCTAGGTACGTATGCTATAGGAATGGTTTGTTTGCCTATACCAAATGAAATATACTCTTCTTGTTTTGAATTATAAGTTACTTTTCTAGATGTATAATTGTATCTATACTTTTTTTAGAATTTTAGGGTCGAGCCCCCGTCTATTAACCAAAGTCAACAGACAATGTACCTTATTACAGCATTGCAGATAGTATTGCCATCTGAAAACAGCTTTAGAGCTAGTCCCAACATCCACTGAAACCGGCACTACCACCAACTCAAAAACTAAACTCCCAGAAAAGGAAACTTCAACAGACAAGATACTTAATAGACGGAAACTTGACGTCTCAGCACCAAACTTGATATCTTCACTTTCTCCAGCATGGATCTTCTGCCGAGTTAAACGATGTGTCAAGCCCGAACACTGTTGTCTTCCCAGCAACGCCAATTTGCAGAGTTTACTTCCAGTTGAGCCATAAAACTTGGGAGGCCTCCTTGATCAGCATCACCTTCTGTCTCAGGACCTTCCTCTTCTCTTCTGGGCAAAGAATTTCCCAGTTTTGTAAGGTGACCGCCGTCCTGTAGAGAAGTATAGCCATACTTTAATTTTATCTATGCTACCTGTCGGGCGTCTGATGAACCGCACAAACATCATACGGCTTTTCACCCCCACCGCTCGCTCCTGCTCGCATGTATATTAAAAAATATATAAAAAAGCTTATCCCTTCACTTCCTCCTCCCCATCCTTACCCCTTCCACGTTCGGTGTCCTCTCCCACCGGGAGCCTCTAACGCCCGCAGATCCGGTGGCCCTCTCCCCCACCGCCACGGCGAGATCCATAGAGCACGAGCGAGATCCACTTGCCTCTGGCGAGATCCATAGAGGTGGTGCGGCGGTGTTGCAGGCGGGGAGTGGGCGGCTCTCCCCCACCCCGGCGCGCGCACCCTCCCCACCCCTCGCGACACCCTCTCTCACCCCGACGACTGAGCTCCCCACCACCTGGCGGCCATGGCGCTCCTCGCCCCACATCCCCAACAGTCGCTGCCGAGCCAAGCCCAATACTGGTGACGGTGGTGCTCGCACGCAGCCACTCACCGCCGGCTCCCACCCCGTCGCCCGGAATCGACTGGTCCAGGCCTCTCTCCCCCTATGTTGCAAATATATGTTTCAATTGTTTCAGAGATTTTAGAGGTATATTGCAATTATTTCATATGGATGTTGCAAAAGTAGATCGGGAGATATTGCACATGTTGCATGTTGCAAGTGTTTTAGATGCATGTTGCAAGCGTTTGTTCAAAATGTTTCATCTGTCTATAGACGTATGTTGCAAGCGTTTTAATCTGGATGTTGCAACAGTATGTTCCAAAATGTTTCATCTGTTGGTGTCTTCTGTTGCAGCAAGTGTTTTCATGTTGTAAGTTGCATGTGCTATATCTGGATGTTGCATATGTTTACACACATATGTTGTAATTGTATATTCCAGACATTTCATCTGTTTCAGACGTATGTTGTATTTAAGTGTTTTCATGTTGCACGTGTTTTATGCTATTAGGAGAGTCAGGGGGCACCGGGGAATGGGGCGCGTGGCAGTGGTGGTAGAGACGTGGGCATGATGAGCCGTGGGTCGGTGGTCGGGGAAACGTGAAGAGCAGGTGGGGCGAACAAATGAGGATGGGGGGGGGGGGCGCGGATGGGGCGGGTCAGGCGTTAGGGCGGGCGTGTCAGGCGTGAGGGGGGCGGCGAGCGTGTCAGGCGTGCGGGGCGGGCGTCCGATGGAATTCATCTCAATCTAACGTTCGCTACCAATACCCTATGTACTATGTTTAAATATGTATTTATTTCCTCTAAAAAATGTGTATTTAAAAAAGACGAAACGGCTTATAATTTAAGCTGCGTTCGGCATGCTGGCTGCTACCGCGCTGCTGGCTGTTGCTGCGCAAAACTGACTAGCAAGCACTGTTGAGGTAGGCAGAAAAACAGCCAGCCACAGCTACAACCAGCCGAACGAAGGTTCGGGTTCGCCGTGAACGTGTAAGTACAAAGCTTTAACAGGAGGCAAATCGATCTTTGCCATCATTTTAATCATCCACACCTGGCGACTGAGTTCGCCGTGAACGCGTAAATAACCAAAGTTTGAAGCTGTAGTTCCAAATGTCCTTGCCCTAAGGATGACACGCGTCGCCATGATCACGAGGAAAAATATCTACTGCCTCCTGAATGAATCTTTGCTGACTTGGCACCCGAATGTGCTGTTAAAAAAGAATAAACTTTCCTGACAATGGGCCAGGGCTGATGCGTTGTGGGCCTCCGATTGGGCCTCCGCTCGCTGACTCTACCACGCGGCCACTTGCGCCGTCGTGATCGTGCTCTTCTCGCCCGGCAAGGCATCGTCTCGCCTCTCCAGAACCTTCCGAGGGCAGAGTGCTCGCCGCGTGGTCTAGAACCTTCCACAACCCTCGCGACGTGTCTCGACGCGCCCGTACGGCGGGGTATTTAGGTGTCCGGCCACCGCCCACCGGCCGACCTTCTCCCGATTTCACCGGCCATTTTCCCCGTTTCACAGCGGCGAATATCTCCCATCTCTCTCCCCTTTCCACCTCGCTTCTTCGCTGCAACACCTCCCGCCCACCCCGAGAAGAAATATCCTAGAGCGCCGACCCGAACACCCGATTCGCTCCTCGTCCGGCCAATTCGTGCTTCTAAATCGCTCGAATCGAGTTCTTGCTTCGGGTTGCGTGCCGCAATCGGGGCGCTTGGCTCCCGCGAGCCGGGTTCTTGGGCCTGGGCGGCGGCCATGGACCCGTCGGTGGCGCCGGGCATTGTCAAGGAGGAGCTCCTGGAGCAGCAGCAGCCGGTGCAGGACGGTGTGGGTGGCGGCGGGGGTGCGCCGCGCCCGATGGAGGGGCTGCACGAGGTGGGCCCCCCGCCGTTCCTCACCAAGACCTTCGACCTGGTGGAGGACCCGGCCACGGACGCCGTCGTCTCCTGGAGCCGCGCCGGCAACAGCTTCGTCGTCTGGGACCCGCACGTCTTCGCCGACTCGATGCTCCCACGCCTCTTCAAACACAGCAACTTCTCCAGCTTCGTGCGCCAGCTCAACACCTATGTGAGTCCCCCCTTCTTCTTCCTTTCCTTTGAAATGATCGTTCTCTTGGTCAGGACTTGCTAATGTTGATGTGCTAGTTTGGTAATTTGCGTTTGTTTTATTGGGCGGAGAGCATCCGAATCCTCTGCAATATTACTTATATATAAAACTAGTTTGCAGTAGGACAGGAAAATCTGTTGTGCACTTGTTCTTCACTAATGTTTTAGGTGCTGTAACACTGTTGTGAGGCATTGTTGTGATTTGGTGCATTTTAGGTAGCTAATTCCCCAATAAGATCAAAGATGCCCGCGACTGGCTAAGATTATCAAGGGGGATCGAAGCTAATGATGTATGTGTATGAAAAAAAAGAGTCGTCAGAGTCTAGTTACTGATTTCATTTCATTTATGTAGGTGTAGTGTTAGGAAGCGGTTTAGTGTCGGAAACAAGATTGCGAAGCATAAGTCATTCTGTGCTCTTTGAGATTGCGGAAAACAAGATTTGAAGCAATTTAAGTGATGCTGATCAGACCTACTACTGCATTTGGTTTTGTCTACTGCATTACGTTTTGAGCATATCTGGTCGTGTTGTGGGTTTATGGCAGTATGGATTCAGTGCTATCGTGTTCACTCTTTAGTGCTTACCTTGATCTTGGTTGATACATGCATTTGGTTGTGAACAAATACATCCTTGAAAGTGTTTATGATACATTCTCCGGTGATCAGTAGACTCTCCCAACAAATGTATAATCCTGACATGGTTTCTTGAACTTTGTTATTGTAGCTAGATGGAACAAGACACTGGATGAAGTACCAAGAACCAGATTGTTTTGTTCTACAAGACTCTACTGATCACCTTCATATGCTATAGTATATTGCTGCTCTATCATTATTCCTGTTACCCTCATTGCAGTTATAAACATACATAAGCTGAAATTTGCAGAGAACCTCATCCAAGCTAACGTATTGCCTTGTGACTGACCTGCTGATGCAATCTGCAGGGCTTCAGAAAGGTTGATCCTGACAGGTGGGAGTTTGCAAATGAAGGTTTCTTCAGGGGTCAAAGGCACCTGCTGAAGATGATAAAGAGAAGGAAGCCACCATCAGCTGCACCACCATCGCGACAGCAGCAGGCCCCTGCTTCTTGCCTGGAGGTTGGTGAGTTTGGATTTGAGGAAGAGATTGATAGGCTGAAGCGCGACAAGAACATTTTGATCACAGAAGTAGTAAAGCTAAGGCAGGAGCAGCAAACTACTAAAGATCATGTGAGGGCCATGGAGGAAAGGCTACGAGTGGCTGAACAGAAGCAGGTACAGATGATGGGGTTCTTGGCAAGAGCAATGCGGAATCCAGAGTTCTTCCAGCAGTTGGTCCAGCAGCAAGACAAGAGGAAGGAGCTCGAGGCTGCCATCTCAAAGAAAAGAAGGCGGCCCATTGACAACGCTCCGTTCTACAGTCCTGGGGAAACAAGTCAGGGCGAGCAGCTTGATTCACAGTTTATGTTCGAGTCAGATGTGCTCAATGGGCTAAGTGAACCTGGAATGCCTGAGCTGGAGAATTTAGCAGTGAACATTCAGGAGCTTGGAAAGGGAAGCATAGATGGCGGGAAGGTGGCTCAAGCTAGTGATCAGTCAGAGCTGAATGATGACTTCTGGGCAGAGCTGTTGGTCGAAGACTTTGGAGACAAGGCAGGACAGTTAGAGTTAGAGGCAAGAACTGAAGACGTGGATGACCTTGCTCAACAATTGGGGTATCTGAGTTCTAGCCCAAAGTAGACTCAGTTCCTAATGGTTGCCCCCACAATCACTGGTGCTTTCCCTACTATTGCAGACAATCCTGAACAAACGGGTACATTACAAATTCAATTCATTGACACAAACCTGTTAAAATTTGGTAATCTACTGGTGACATTTCATTCCATTTCTATTTATATTGCTGGAATATGCAGGAGTGAAGATTAGAATAGTGATTATGGATCTTGCCAACAAGGCTGACGACCCATCCTTCTAACCATATCCATTATTCAGTGGTGGAGGTGTTCATACTGAAGGCGTACTGTGGAGGTCACTGCCTTGAAGTTGAAGGCTTAGTGCTGTAGTACTGCTGTAAGTAGTCAGCACTCTGCAAAGGAGTACTCCTATGTTCGGACTGTCACATTTTTACTGTCGTGTGTACTGATATTCGAATTCCGTGATAGATGCAGGTGGGAGATACGTGGGGTGTTGGCTGACGTCGACTGGCAAGTGGCAAAGTGATCTTAAGGACGGTGACTGGCAAATATGTCTAGAGGCCAACGCATACATACAGCTGTTATCAGCTCTTATTCGTTAGCTCTTACTATTAGAAAAAAGTATCTGCGTCGTCAGTGATTGCACGATGTGGACGGTGCTATGTCTTGTTCAGGGTTCTGGGGTTGGGTTGTATATAGGTTTGACTGGTTGAGTAGAGTCAATCTCCACCTGTGATTGTTGTAACCTGAAAACATCCTCAGCTTGCTGTATCTTGTTTTTTTATTTTACTCCAGTTTCATGATCCTTGTACATCAAGTTGCAGAATATGGGAAATTTTGAACAATTTGGCATCTCTTCTTGACGATGTGTTAGCCATCTTCATGCTTTCGTGTACTCCGTGCTGGCATTTGGCTACAGCCCAACCGTGGTCAAGTCCATACTCCATACATGCTTGTTGAAGCTGTTGCCATTGGTTGGGCGGTTCTCCATTTTGCCGTTTCCAGACCGCTGCATGTGCACTGTCACTATTAGCCTGTGTGCAGGTCACCGTAGTGGACTGAGGTAGTTCAGTGATGTCGAAAGCTCTGCATCCGGATTCCATCAGAGGCCTTCCACTAGTTGAGGTAACGATAAAAGCATGGTCACTGTTAGAGATGTGGACAGCGTTGCGACATGTAATTAATTAGGAGAAAGCCAAAGAGGCAGAAATACGCACGCACTACTAATTTTGTATGGTAACATAACAAATGTAAAGGAGTCATGTCAGGCTAAACAGGATGATATCCCTTTTTCTGTATGTGTGATGTGATTCCAAATGCCAATGTGAGCACAACAGTGAAGCCTTCTGAAGGAGAAAATGGAAGGACATGCATCAGAAATATTAACAAGTCACCTACTATCTTCCCACCACTTCATTAGTTCACTGCTTAAATAAACGTGAGAAATGCAAATGGGCACCAGATGCACCTATATAGTAATAGACTATTCAGGCAACTTTGCATGTGACTTCAATTGCTTTCTCCCAAAAAACAAAATTAAAAAAAGTTGGAAAAATGATGAACAAAAATAGTTTATGTCAGAACCAAACCAAATATATAGGATTAAAAAACCGGAAACATACAATACCACAGGCCAAATGCGCTGAACTTTGGAGTTGTGAACCGGTGACCCGCCAGTAACTGACTGAATTTTATTACTACTAGATGAGATGATGCATCATCTCTACACCAATTACCACGTTTCCATTTTTTTACACCAATACTTCAATTTGCTAAAGAAAGATAAAATGAGAAACAACCGTATCCCTAGGATTTGAAATTCAAACATCAATCTGAAATTTGAAAGCTTTGTAACTGGAACCTGTTATTGCTAGGCAGTTTAGACAGTTACAGCCAATAGTTTTTTTTAACGCAAGTTAATTACAGCCTATGTTTGAATCTCTGGATAGAAGAGGAAGAGCTGCACAAGATCCAACTAACCAACAGCAGGAGTGCCCACAATGCCAAAGGGAGGAATTAAGAGAAAGAAAGGGGCCCAAAAATTCTCATCAGTGGGGCTAGTTTAGCACACCATGCATCTTTGGACCAAAAGCACGGATGGAATAAGAAAAAAGGAGAGAGACACACACAAAAAAGAAGGAAAAGATTAAAGCAGCAAGCAAGGAATTATAAACCAGTACCATCCCTCAAAGCACCAAAAAAAAATGCATGGGCAGGCTAAAAAAGCATACAGCATCAGAGATTCAGAAAGATGGAAGAAAGAAACCTTGTTTAAGACTGATGAAGCCTGCAGAAAAAAGAGAGGCCTTAAGAGAGAAACTAGAGACAAACAAGACTAAAGAGTGGATGTCTGGTCTCATCTGATCTGACTTTGAAGCCCTAGACAGCCTTTCTAACACACACCTACTCACCAAGATACACTACATAGTACCTGCAAGTAAACAGAAAGTTGTCTTTGAACATCAGATCAGTCACAACTCACAAGGTGTATGCAAACAAACTCTGAATTAACAACCCAGGTGATGGGGGCACAAAGTAAATCAAAACTTGAAGGAAGAGAATCAGTGAGTGGTTGTCCTCTGTGCTGGGACTTTAGCTTTCATTGTAGGGTGAGTTTGATCCCTTGTGTGTGCAATGCATGCTCAGTGTTCCCTCCACCCTTTGTCCACCTTTTTTTTAGCTGTACTAGTCCTTTCTCCAATTCCATCCATTGGTCTTCTCTGACTACAGGGCAGGCGGAACTGGAGCTCCGATCCAGATGAGATTAGAAGCAGCGAAAAGTAGAAAGCAGTAACAATAATGGCTAATGTATTTTTGCTGATGATTTAAATGCTGCTACTAACCTACATACGACGCATGACTTACTAACACACACTGCAGAAACATGTAAGCAACAAGATTGATCTATTCATACTGACTACTTAAATTCTGCACCAACATTCAAGTCTACATAGGTGAAAGCGAAATACAAAATGAGACATGTAATTCATGCTGATGACATCAGTATGTCATTACTGCATGTGCTTTCGTCTTTAATTTGGCTTAGTATGAACAGAAGAAAATCAAAACCAGCAGTGCCTTTTGACACACCAATCTGATCACTAGCTTGTGGTGAAAGGCTGTGATGCAAATAGAAATTGATTTTTTTAGGAGAGAAATTGAATTAGTCCTGCTGTCTAGTCTAGGTGCGTAAAACATGCATAGACAATTTCCTTTTCAGTTGTGTACCTCAATTTTGCACAGTCGCGGTCAGAGAAAGATAGTAGTAACATATAGCTAGCAGCCACACACAAGAATGAGCTCAGCTACGCTTATCTGCCCACACAAACAGGGCGGATTTAAATGGGGGCTGGGGGGGCTCCAGCCCCCCTACAGCTGGTGTATCAATGGAAATATGGGGAGGGTGAGGGAGAAGGAGAGGTGGAGGAAAGAAGAAAAATGGAGAGAGAGGAAGAAGAAGAGACCAGCCCCCCTTCAATCCTGTTCTATATCCGTCACTGCACACAAAGATAGTACTCCTATGTCGACACTGTGGTCATATGGAGCTCATCAGTTACTAAGAAAACTAAAGGTTGGTGCTAGATTGCTTTTGCCAATGCCTCAATGGTCTGTATGCATGTATATCATTAGGGTTTTATTTACTACATTTTCATCGCCTGGGAAGCCAAGTAGATATCCATGATGGTTGTATTACTAATAACTTGCTGATGCACTGATGATGCGTGTGTGTGTGACTAGTGTGTATAGCTCAAGTTGTACCACACACCACATGTTCATGCATGCTTGCTAGCTGCCATTGATAAAAAGATGCAGAAACTAAAGGGAAAAAGAGGCCGGGCACGGCTGGCTGGCTGGCTGGATGGGCGTGGCTTTTTGGCCCTGGACGCGGACGGGACCTAGCCTGCAGAGGGAGTGCACTCGATTGCAGCATCTCTACACGTAGGCCTTCTTATTCTGGCTGCTTGGCTGCAGCAACTGCGCCTGCAGAGGGCAATGACAAACCGCCTGCAGATCAGAGGCCTCTCTGACGCCTTTCCCGATCCTCTCCTGCAATAATACAATAATCTGATCGCTCCCTCTCCTCTCGCCAATAATCACACTTGGACATCACTAGAAGCCTTGAGCTAGCTGAGACCACAGAACCACATAGACATATACTACTAGTCTCTCTACGGAGTAGAGAGTATATATAGAAGCTAAGAAGTAGATAGAGGATCAGTAGCTAGCTTAGCCCGGCCAGTGTACAACTGCAAGAGAACACCAAGAAACAGACAAGCAGGCAGAGGCTAGTGAGTGGCGATAGACGATCAGATGATGATGATGATCTCTGATCTCTCGTCTGAGCACGAGCACGAGGCCACTGGATCCAGCTCCTATGGCGGGGACATGGCCAGCTACGCCCTCAGCCCTCTCTTCCTCGCACCGGCGGCCTCGGGCACCACCGTGCTGCCGCCGGCACCTCCACAGCAGCCGGAGGAGCCCAACAAGGCGGCGGGGACCAAGAGGAAGAGAAGCCAGCCCGGAAACCCAGGTACGTAGTAGCTAGCACACTTAGCAATTGACCATGCGATGCATGCATAATCTTTCATTCTTTTGTGATGATCGATCCTGGCATGGAGTGCTTGGTTGCTGACTAATTAATTAATTGAAGACCCCGGCGCTGAGGTGATCGCGCTGTCGCCGCGCACGCTGGTGGCGACGAACCGGTTCGTGTGCGAGATCTGCAACAAGGGGTTCCAGCGGGACCAGAACCTGCAGCTGCACCGCCGGGGCCACAACCTCCCCTGGAAGCTCCGCCAGCGCAGCAGCCTCCCGTCAGGCTCCGGTTCTGGCGGCAGGCAGGGTGGTGAGGCGGCCGCGCCGGCGGCGCCGCGCAAGCGCGTGTACGTCTGCCCCGAGCCAACGTGCGTCCACCACGACCCGGCGAGGTAGGGATCGATGCATATATGCATACACGCATCTTGATGAACAATCCTACTAGTACTGCATGGAATGGAACCGAACTGACGGCTGATTGTTGTGCATCGATCGATCAGAGCTCTGGGG